AATGTCTTTGTGTTTTTCTCTCTCTCAAATTTCACCATTTTTAAGAGAAAATAAAAGCGAAGAAGAAAATTTATTGCACCATGAGAAAAGTGGTATACACATACGTACGCACAAAACATATATATGCGATTATATTTATGCTAACACATAGATACATACATATAAGAACACACACACACACACACACACACACGCACACACACACACACACACACGCACACACACACGAAAACACCCATCCCTGTGTGTGTGCGTGTATATATATCTTTGAGACAAGGAGAATATCATAAAATATTTTTTATACATTATTTACATTATTCGGACTATTGTCCTCGTCTTTGTCGCCATATTTATCACAACGTTTAGGCCGTTGTACGCTCCGGCCTTCGTCAGGTGTTTTTTTTTTTTTTTATATTTCCTTGATGTCCTTAGAGCTTTCGTTTTCTAAGAAAGTATAGAAACTGTAAGTAACGATAATTGTCCCTAGAACTTTCGGCCAATACCTTAATTTTCAAGGAGTTCATTGCCAGTGTGTTTGTTTTCAAAGTTGTATTACCTGGAAGTAGTAGAAATGTTAATCTGCGCGGGGAGAAATATAGTTGTGATTCCCTGTCTTTTCAAAGACCGCCAACAGATTACTGCCATTGTTAAATAGGGTAAGGTTGAATCTTGGCTCGAATTGTTTTATATAAAGAGCTTCCGTTAACTTAAGACATCGTCGACAATTAGATTTCATTAGAATGTGTTGCTATTAGCTGTTCGAATTGCAAATGTGCATTCAGTGTTTCCTTGCGTTTTATGCACTCTTAATAATTTATACCTTGAGGATCCCAACACATGCAAAATAGGGGAAATTGATTTTTCACAACTTTTTGAAAACCAACATTGCACTCAATGTGAATGCTGGGATCTGATGCGATAAATACTGACACCAAAATTTAGGCGTATAGCCTATACCAACTTTAGAGCATTTAGTTTTAAATATCGTCTGATATATTTAGTTATTTCTGTACATTATGTACAGAAATACCTAATTTCCACGTGATTTTTCTTACAAAATGACTTCAAAATTTTAGTATTTCAAGAATAAATCCAAATAAATAAGTCAATATATTTATACAAATAAATTAATTAATTTTAAAAGTTTGGTTTGGTTTATTTTGTTTTACGGCATATCAACCTCAATGGGTTATTCAATGCCGACAACATTTTTAGGATAGGTTCGTATGAATAGAACATGTATTCTTTGGCTTAGATAGATTTGGTTTATTTTGTTTTACGGCGTATCAATCTCAATGGGTTATTTAATGCCGACAAAATTTTTTATTGCTAGTAATATTTTGTTTTGTCAAAAATCTGTTTCTGATTAAATATTTTCTTCAAAAATTGTATTGCTGTTAATAATTTTTTTCAAAAAAGTATTGTTGGTAATAGTTAACTCTTTGCCCATAGCTGGGACCCTAACAGGTGCTACTACCCTGGGTCAGGGTGGGCCTGGGAACACCAGCAATTAAGAGGTGGTTCCCCGCTTCTCAAAACCTCCTGATCAGATACCTTGCTGCTGGACGTAGTATAACATCTTATCCAGGACGTGGATGTAGTTTAACGTCTTACCCAGGACGTAAATTGTAAAAGATTAGGAAAAAACTAATTAATAAATTATACCTTGAAAATCTCACCACATGCAAAATAGGGGAAATTGATTTTTCGCATCTTTTTGAAAACCAACATTGCACAAAATGCAAATGCTGGGATTTGACGCGATAAATACTGACACCAAAATTTAGGCGTATAGCCTATACCAACTTTAGAGCATTTACTTTTAGTTATAGTCTGAAAAAATGTACGAGAATATCTAATTTCCACGGGATTTTTCTAACAAACTGTCTTAAAAATTTTAGTATTTTATGTATGAATCCAAATAAAACTGATATGATTTTATATTAGATTCAGTGAAGAGAAAATATATTCAAACCAGAATTCTAATTATTAATCACGGCAAGAAAAAAATATGCACAAAAACAAAATGTAAAAATTGTAAAAGTTTGCAAAAAACGCTAATTAATGAATAAGATCATACACCATTTGTTAGCTCGTAATTAATAAAAGAACAAAAATAGATAAAAGTGTATGTATAAAAATAGATAAAAGTATATATATATATATATATATATATATATATATATATATATATCATAATACTGCTGTGCACAAATTATAAGACAAAATGTTTTAAATTTGCATTATTTATTGCAAAACCCTCTAAGTCTATAACATATTACATCATAATATGGCTTATTTTTTTTTAGTATAATTTCGTTTTGAAGTAAATGAAGGTTTTATTTGAAGACACAACGATTTAGTAATAATGTGCTTGTGCATTTCTTCTTATCCATATAGAATTCTTGAAGCTTCAGTTGTTAACTTTAGCAGTTTAACTGCTCTTTGCAAACCTTGCGAATGTACAGGCATATTCGGCAACTATAACTTCGTTCATTTCATTAGAACTTCTTGCAGTTCACTATTTGAAAAACTTTCAGCAAACTCTGCTTCACAAATTTCATTTTTGTGAGAGATTAATCAAATTTGATCAGAGTTGGGGAAAATCATTTTTTAATCACTTTTTTTGAGGGGGGGGGTAACTTACTAGTTCTGAAAAAAAATGTTGAAAATATTGCCTATACGTGGACAAATTTTAAAATGATTAATTCATGACCTCAACACCGGGAAAAGAATGTCTTCTGGAGCCAAGGCGAAAGCATTGTTCTGTAATATTTTTAATGCAACATTCTATATTTCGGTCGACTGTTGGTTTATTCTCATATTGAAGATATACAATTATTGGCTGTAGAATTTATTATCGCTTTTATTTTCAAACCAACTAACTGAATAAATTTCAGTTATAAGTCAGTGCTATAAGGCTTACAATGGCCACCGGAAGAAAAACGGTCCAGTGTTAAATTTAAGCTTAATCCTTAAATTGTTTTTTTCTTTCTTTTTTTCTTTTTTAAAAAAACAAAAAAATACGATAAATATTTGCATAAAAATATTTTGTGTCATTATTTATCATATCAAACACCAACTTTAAAATAGAACGTTATACTACGGTTCCAACATCGACCTGCTCTAATACACGACATTACCATTACTTTTTCGCGGTTGGCTCTTGTATTTGATCTATTATTCAGTACTTGTCATATGTTTAAAGAAAGGGTTATTACTCTGTTGTAAAATGACACTTATCGCCATGTATAAACGATAAGTTTGTCCTTTTCGCTAAGCGTGTGGAATCTAACACCCAAATTATTGATTTCCTCCATTTCTTTCCATCTTTTACTCTATGGTAGATTGTGATGTTCAATTTTGTTCTGTCAACTTCTGCGACGACGCCGGTGCCAGCCAATCTGTCTTAGACCTTACCTCTCCTTTGGACAGCATCGGTGGTGTGAAGAGGACAGACGTGCTAAATGGGAAGCCACCGATCTCTAATAAAACCTACCCAGCTGTGCACTGTCTGGAGAAGACACTTCAGCATCACCTCATCGCCACGACAAAAACGTGGGAAGCAACAGTCTACTGATGGGAGGATTCTGAAGGTCCTTCTCTATAGGGAACTGGCCACATCTTTGCTTCAAGAACGTTTGAAAAAGTGACATGAGGACGAGGGGTATGGGCATCAAAAGGTAAGAAGACATCGCCAACGATCACTTGTTCTGGAGACATGATTTACACCTAGGGCTGGAGCCAGGAGCGAAAAAGAGAAGGCTTGCCGCCTGGATGAAACGCGTTCGAAGAAAAGAAAACAACACAGTGTCATCGAGGGAGAGCTTCTTCACATGCTTTGGTCGCAACCGCGACTGTCTATCATGTGTGGATATATGCAACCATAACAGATGATGCATCGACATTAGCAGCTGATGCATAACCTTTGGGCAGCAAAACCTATAATCTCTCGAGACTAACTGATGCCACATTTAAAATCTTTCCTAGTTCCAGAGTACTTATCGCGGATTGTTTTCCATTAAATTCCGATGTACTCCTTGTTCTGGGTTCATCCTCTCCAGAACGAAACTTTGCCAACCAATGTCGTATTTACCGGCTATCACGCTATATCTTTCTAGATGTTGCCATAGCATTATGGTTTTGCTTGCATATGACACCATGTAAGTTAAATGCAATTTCAATACGTCCATTACTGGATTTAAAAAATACATCCAGTGTGCACGGTACAACTACCTCGCAAAATCTAAGACATAATCTTCTTCTATGTGCTGTGTCCCTTAAGAACATGGGTGATCATGGCTCTTCAAAACTTCCTATCCTTTGTGAAATTTGGTAAAATGTGTCTTTTGATATAATTCCTAATTCTTGTTTTGCCAATTTACACAAGCTCATTAGATAGGTTATGTTTTGTTTTCATTTGTCCCGCTTGCCTTCCCGGTGTCATGTGAATGTTAAATTCTCCAAGCCGTCTTTCCTTATTATGTGCTGTAAAAATTTCAACTCTCTGTTTGGTGTTAAATATAAGCGGGCTTTTTGTTTCCGTTTTCTCTAAAACTTCGCCATTGCTCACGTGTTTAGTTCACGTTAATCTGTGCATCATTCTGCAGAACCCTCATTTCTGTTGCCTCAATTTTCTTCCCCATCTGAGTAAAGATGGCCCAGCTTATAATATAACGGTTCAGTAATTTCTTCTTTTGTTTCTAATGAAATTC